CACATATATATATATATTCTTCTTTGTAGAATGATGGTTAATCATCTCATCTTTTTTATACAACAGGTGCAATGTAATTTAGATGTTTAAAACTCATTTGCATTAAATCAATTCAAATTTTAAAGAGAAAATGAATGAAATCATTCTCTTATAATTTAATAATAAGAAAGCGAAAAAAAAAAAATGGAAAAAGAAAACATATGAATCCAATTTAATTCCTACGCATAATCATGCATTATTTTTTTCTCATAATCATATATAGTAGATGAGAGGCATGCCTAACCATTCTAAATTCCACGTTTAAAGACTTTATCTAACACTCGAATAATTCTACATATTTATTTTAATTTCCCATCCTTTTATGTATATATATATATATATATATATAGAGGCTGCTTTGCCTCACATCTTTTCTCTCTCCCGGATCTGTCTGCAACTACTTGATCACCACAAGCTTCCAAAGAAGAGGAATTAATAGAAAGACAGATCCAAAAGCTCTTCTTTTCTCTCCTGGTTCCTCCCTCCATGGCACCCAACACCTTCTCCTCTCCATCCACTTCTTCTTCCAGCAAAAAGAGGAGCGGATCAGCCGAGCAAAGGAGCTCATGAAACCATGGTGCCGGCCAGAAACCTCCTCCGGCGACACTACGACTGCTATGGAGGATACTTCACGGATCCCTATTTCGAGAAGCGGACCAAGGCTTTGAAATCGCCGGAATTCATGGCTGGTTTGAGTAACGGCGAGGAGGAGGAGGAGGAGGAGGTCGGAACCAGCTCTAGAGACGCCGGAGGAGATCAATGCCGTGACAGCTGGCTGCAGCTCGGCGTCGGACTTAGACCGCAGTTAAGTCGCGGTTCTCAGACGGGCGGCCGTTCGGTTCAGCCGCTTTCGACGGAACTTGAGCTTTTTGGTCCGCGGCAGGAAAACATGAATCTTTCGATGTTTCCGCCGCCGCCGCAGCCCCCGCAGCATCTCGGAGTATTTTATCCGCCGTGGTTTGCAATGGGAGTCGGACAGCCGGCGTCTGGAGAGGTGAGGTTGATGAACATGCCGGCGAGAGCTCCGGTTGGGGTCTGGTTCATGCTTAAAGCAGCACAGAACCAGTAAGTAAAAATTCCTTTTTTTTTTTTTTTTTGTTTTTTTTTGAACTTTTATGTGTATGTGAACTTTTAGAAGGCTTCATGATGAGTTTGGAGTTAGGGTTTTCTTCTTGTGATGTTGATGAATTTTTAATGCCGTGTTAAATGCAGAGTGAGGGAGCCGTTTTTGCCTCAGATTCCCAAGAGCTACTTGAGGATCAAGTAATTTTTATTTCTTCTTGTAGGAGCTCAAGGCTTGGTTTTTAGAAGATAAGGCTTCTGAATCTTTTTTACTTTGTGTTTGTGTAGGGATGGGAGGATGACAGTTAGGTTGCTGAAGAAGTACTTGGTGAATAAACTTGGACTTGAGGATGAATCAGAGGTAACACAATTGTTTTATTTTTTTTTTTAATTAAGGTTATGGTTTTGTTTTGAATGCAAGTCATGCATGCTCTAAAGTCCCAACCATTTTTTATTTCATTTAATGCTTGGTCCAATAATGGATGGATGGAAAAAAGGACATAAAAGGTCATGGGAAGGAATCATTAAGAAGTATAATGTTGTTCCCAACATAAGTTGGTGAAAGGAACATTGGAACCAAAAAGTTTCTTCATGGAGGTAGTAGATTTGTTCTTCATTGAGAAGTCATGGTGTGGAGTGGAAGTCTGAGTGGAACATCATTTGTTCCTCATGATTAAGGTTTTACAACTCCTCCTTCGGTGCTTGGTAGTTCATTAGTGTCTAAGTTGCGACCGAGTTTTATTTGGTGAATAATATATATTTATATATATATATATATATATATATATATATATATATATATATGATAAGGCAGTATAATCATTGTGCCACACAGCTACTTGTGTAGGCTTGAGATGCCATAAATGGAGGAGCTAATCTAAATCCATTAGTCTATGCATGATATGGCTTTTAGGACTTCATGAGCCTTTGATTTTTTTTTTATTTTTTTATAAGTTTACTTGAGCTACATATCAAGATAAGTTATTGTGGACACTTCAGTCCTTGTTCATATGGTTGGAGGCTTGGAGATGCCTCCCCACGCCCCTCTCTCTCTCTCTCTCTCTCTCTCTCTTTCTCTCTCTCTCTCTCTCTCTCACCTAACTTTGATGAAAGCTATGGGCCATCCTAAACATGAATTTAACTATAAGTTTCGAAATTATAGGAAAACAGCATTTTCCCTTAGAGCAGATGTTGTTGGCATATATTTCGAACAAATTTAATCATAATTTTACCAATAGGCAAGGAAAGACCAGCGTAAGGGGCAAAATGACAGCATTTTGGATTAAATGCAGTCATCATTTCAGGTCATAATTGAGAAGGAAAGATTATGGCATTCGTTGACACTAAAATTTTAGCACATGGGTTATTTTATTTATAATGAAACCCTTTATGAAGGTCGAAGTTAGATTTAGGATGAATATTTATAAGCTTAATTTTTCCCCCATTACATAGCTTTAAGGCCTATATTTTGCATACATGTAATTCAAATGCTTCATTATTATTATTATTATTATTATTCTTGTTGTTATTTACACCCTATAGTTCAGTCTCCTGTACTTGATCCGATTTTATGGCCATTATTTGTCTTCTAACTTTGGTCAAGTATGATCTCTGATTTACCATAGCTTTCATATTAATAAAAACTATTTATATGACTTCTTTTGATACATAATATACTTAATAAAATAGTGCAATGTTATTCAGTGGATATATCCCTCGATATGAATACTTATGTGGCACTTAGCTAAACGTAATGCTATTCCGTTTAGATTAGCCTGTTTTTAGGTTCCCAAGTTGTTTCCTATCAAGAGAAAATCGTCATAAATACATGAAATCACATCAATGCCAATCGACTCCAACGCTGTAATTTCTAACAATATTAATGCCATTTGCATGCATGGAAGTTAAGGAAACACCTTAATCATAAAAGTGCCAAATATAACTTAATCTTAATTGCTTTCTGCCATGATAAACCGATTTATAATTGAAGATAAAAGTGTTTGAACCAACGGTTAAGATATTGCTAGAATAGTAAAAAAAAATTATCTTATCTCTGCTAAAGCATTTAAGACCTTTTTCGTACTAATTTAATGAGCAGCTCTTTTGCTTCACTATAATGAAAAATAAATCTTTCCGAGGGCTATACATATATATACACCACACTAGTCTAATGTAATTAGATATCAAACAACTAAACTTTCATATTCATCAAAAATATCACTTTTAGGTTTTTATGCTTTAGGGGTTAGATATGTAAATGTATAATAATTTTGTGGTATGTGTGTAAATTTGGCTAGATATATTGTTTTGAATGTATTGTTTGAGGAAATGATTTCAAAAGTATTAAATGATAATTATTGAATAAGATTATAAATATGTTAAGTCATTTCAGCTACTGAGTTCATATTTATAACGTTCATCATCGCAATTCTTCAACTCCTTTTCATATGGCTTTCTACTCCACGCAACCATATATGGTGTCACTTCTATTTTGAAGTGGATATATTTTAATTCGAAGAAGCCGGTAAGAAGTTTCATGATGAATTTTTTAAGATATTTCATGATACGTTCTTAGAATAATCTTGCTATTTTCCAATTAAAAAATATATATATATAATCATGTTAATTAGATAATATTTTGTTCTAAAACACATATGCCACTCTTTAATCATGCATTTCTTTACACTTTACAATATAAATATAAATAATAAAAATAATAATTTAATTTTTAAAGAAGTTTTAAAAAACATTTCTTTAACTATAATTTCCTTCTTTGTGGATTTAAATACAAGCTTATTTATATTTTAATTTATGTACAAAACTATCATACAATTCAAGTAGACCATTTGTTTATTTTCTTATTGTTTCATTTCGTTTCTAAATGGAGATAATTGTTTATAATTCATGAACTCATAACCTTTTTATTTTAGTTTAAGAATGATTGTTATTTATTTTAATTTATTAGATATTAAAAAGTGAAAGAAAAATGGCTAGAACTCATGAATAACAATGAAAGTAGTGATTCCTAGATTAAGAAGTGATTAATTGATGCAAACCCAATTAATAAGCAGTTAAGAGATTGTAATCTCCCACATACTCTTTAATGATTGCTAAACTATATATATGTATATATATATATATATATTAAAAAAAATTAAGTTGTGCTAGTTGTTCATCTCTCTACCTAAAGCATCCAGTACTTATGACATGACATATATATTATTTCCAGTTTGTTGACATTAATATGATGAGGTATGCATAAGCCACCAACCTCATTCTTTTTCCCTCTAAAGTCATAAGATGCAACAACCATGATACCTATGTAATGTTAGCATGTTACATATTTTATTTCATACGTGACAGCTTTCTAATTCTATTTGCTGTCATATAATCACAAAATGCAGTTTTTTTATTCTCTATGGTTCAACTCTTCCAATTCATTTATAATCCCCATCAAGCTATGAGCTGTATATATATATATATATATATATTAATGTTCTAAATGGAAACTTAAGCAGAAGAATGGAGATAAAATATTGCCTGAATTTTTCGTAGCATGAAAACCATTGAAACATTCTTCTCGTGCTTACTGTTCTACTGCACTCCACGCATGTGTAACATATAAAGGATAACGTAGTAGCTTTCATCAAATTTAATCTGAACAAAACATATGGCGGTTACAGAATCTATATGCTAATATATTCTTCTTCTTTTTTCTATATATATATATATATATATATATATATTGTTAATCTTACTATTTATAGCCAGTATAAATTTGCTTGTTTTTTTTAAGTTCATGAGGTAATTTTTGTCTCTAAGGCCAAGCATGTTTTTGTCTCACATGCATATATAGGATTAGATGCTACTTCAAGGAGGACACACTACACCATTTGTTATGGCAAAATCTCATAAGACTAAAAATTAGGACAAGAATGCGCATACATTTTGTCATATGTTGTCTTGCCCACAGTCTTGAAATATTTTCTCAAGTTTTCAAGAAGAGATTTTTCTTCCTAAACTTGACTAAATGTATAAATGGTGATATATAATGATCTATGAACACACACTCTTTTAATTTTGACCCAATGTGCATACTAGATCCAATCTTAGAGCTTATTAATGATAAAACTCAAGCAAAAAAGGGATTAGAGATTTTAAAGAGACTAAATCTTGAAAATTTTCTTAGCATATTGATATATAAAATGGTTGATTATATTCTTTTGATAGGGAAGGGAGAGTTGAATAAGACTATAAAGGAATTTCAAGAAAATTGGAGAGATTCGAAGGAGAATCTTAGAGAGATATTTTGACTTAAAGTTTAGAATTGCATTTGATAGGGCTATCATCTTTAGGTTCAACCAATGACCATCGATTTTCAAGAAAAAGTCAATAATACTAGATTGGTTAGCTGATATTTTGTGGTGGTGAGTCTGATTAGTTAATAGTTGGTCTTTCGTTAGAAATTCTTCTCGTAAGAACCACCAATTTATAGTTGTTTGTACTCTGCAAAGAAATTAAATTCCAAAGGAGAATTTTGCTTTAATGATTAAACAACTTTTTGAGTCTCTCAAGTGTTTTGATCATTTTAGCGCAAAAACATTAGTAAAAATAGCTCATGAACGACTTAGTGAGATTCATTTGTGGGAAAGTAAAAGTTTTAATTTATATGTTGCTTGTGTTATAGTCATTGATTCTTATTTGGTAACTTTTTCTTAAGCTCTTATGGTTAGCGATGAGGAGGTTTTCAATGATAGGCCTAGGAAGAAGTGCAAGGAGGTTGTCAAACAAGCAAGTTCTATTTATATTAAGAGTTTTGTTTTAGTAGAGATGCTTACATGAAAAATTTCGTAATTGAGTCAATGAAAGACGCCTAATATGAATTGGGTCCTCCATAAATTAAGATGGATACGAAGGGAGATCCTCTAGCTTCATGGAGATTGTATGGTGTTAAGAAAATTGTTTTAGTAGTGAGCAGGTCATTATTGAGGATGTTGGTGTTCTAGTGATTATCTGTGAAGCTATTATAGTAAGAGTTCTTTGGAAAAAAAAATAAAGTTCAAACTCTTCCAAAAGTAAGACAGAGTGAAGAATTCAATTTTATAAGATTATCATTTAATCCAGGGATAAATTTTGAGTCTATAGTTTCTAAAATTGACACTCCTCGTATTAAAGTTTGAGTTAACATTCAAGTTTTTAAGAAGTTGAAATAGAATACCCTCCAAATGCTTGAGGGAACACGAGCTTCTTTTATCTACCCAACCGAAAAGGAAAGCTAAAAGTGTTATGGAAATGCTCTTGAAAAGGTGACCACTGAAAGCATTGATGTTAATAAAAGGAGTATTAAATGAAATGGCTTGC